CTACAACTCCTTATTAATTTTGCTACTACGGTATCTAATAACAAAATGCACAGAAAAAATCTTCATCGTTTAGTTGTTCAAATTTAGTATCTTGAATCCGTAAAAAATGTGTCTAAAGCGACAAAATTTGGATTTAGCTAATGGAAAATGAAGAAACCTACCAGAAGTGTAAGTCCAACAATTCACTACAACTCCTTATTAATTTTGCTACTAAGGTACCAAGTATCTAATAACAAAATATCAAAAAAAAATCTTCATCATTTAGGTATTCAAATTTAGTATCATATACGTGCACCTTTAACCCGTAATCAATGTGTCTAAACCGACAAAATGTGAATTTAGTTATTTTAAAATGAACCTAACCTAACCTAACCTAACCTAACCTAACCTAACCTACCAGAGATGTAAATCCAAAAATTCGCTACAACTCCTCATTAATTTTCCAACCAAGGTACCAAGTATCTAATAACAAAATACCCCCCCAAAACAAAGAAAAACCTTCACCACTGATGTTGAACTAGTACTTTGTACGTGCACCTTGAATCTGTAAGCAATTGTGAAATGCAACATAAAGTACTCCAATCACATCGAAAGAGACCCAGAGAACAAAACGAAAGATTTCCCCCTATTCGCAAATCTCATTAACCCCTGTATTCTGCATTTCAAAGATCCTACCGACTCCTAATCACCTTATCAAAATACTTTCCAGTATCTTAAAAGCGTATCTTCCGACATGTTCCCCCCCAGCACCCGGGCGTCATGTTCGAACCATACCAAACGTGACGACATAGTGAGGTAGCTGGCATTGAGCCGTTTCAGGGCCATTAGGGCCGAGACTTCCGGTTCTTCGCAGCATCCGGCGTCCAAAATGGCCGCTCGGCGTGCACCCTGCGATTCCCATTCCCCGATTTCGAAAAAGCCACGTTTTTCTCCCTCGGCGTATACGATTCGAGTCTTTAGTTCCATCCTCCGTCGGAAGCGAGGTTGCCATAGCGGCCTCCCGGAACCGGAAGTGCCCGGCCCTCTTTGCGCGGTGTCCGCCATCTTGGTCCCGTCCGACCACCGGTATGGACCCCGTATCTCGTAATCGTTTAACTATTTCCTCTCATATATCGTATTACAATAGTATCGTAATATCTTATACATATACACTAGCTGGTTACAATATTTTGTGAAAAATATACATCAAAATTTTGTTACTTTTTTACATCACAGATATTTTAATATAATATATCTTCATTTAATCTTAAAAATTTTCCCTTCTTCCTTCTCCTTCTTTTTTTTCCCTTTTTTTTTTTTTCAACTAATTCATTTCGCCGGATCGTTAGCGCATCGCTCGCGACGTGGGGGTGGGGAAAGTGGGTGGGTAGGTGGGGGGAGGGGGAGGTGGTACTTGATCTTTTTTCTTTTTAGAAATTAGACAATAGTATCTCGGAGGGGGTGGGAAAGGGAGAAGGGGGGGGATATAATTTTCACCGCATCAGTCGCTGCGAATGACCGATCGAAATTCGCGAAACAAAAGAGACTGATTCCTTGCAATGTTCTTGTTTTTTGTTCCGTTGGGGTGGAGTGGCCTTGAAATTTTGCGCGTATTTTTTCTTTAATTTTTTTTCTTTTTTTTTCGTTGCAATGCAGCGTCGTTAAATTTAACCGATGATTTGTTATGATGTTTTAGATGAATGAAGGAAATTGTTTTTAAATGTTGAAATTGTAATTAACGTTAATAGATTTGGTATCATGAAAGTACATCGTTTTTAACGACAATGATCATGTAACAGTGTTTCTGGAGAGTGTACTTGGTTTGGTTGTTGGGAATAGTTATGTAATTGAAAATTGAATAAATGCAATGTTGGTACTGGAGATTTGGTAATGCAACGTGGTATAATTATTCTTCTCTTCTTTTTTTTTCTGGGAATGTAGTAAAGTATAAATATGAATGTACCGATGCGAATGTAAAGAGTAGCTGATTAGTTAGAGTCCGTAATTGAGATTTAAAAGTAGAAATGAAAATTTATAATTAAAGTGCATGGTTAGTTGTATCACTTAATTGTTGGAGTTTCAAGGTTTAGTTAGAGTATGTCTAAGTACAATAAATTATGGCAAAGAGTCAGCTTTATGGCAGAATGTATAGCATTTAAGGAATGTATAGGCAGCCGTAAATCAGCTGTTATTGTAACAGTCAACAGTAAACTGTTGAAAGGTTAACCTAGAATGATTTATGGCTGAATAATCGAAATCAGGCATATTACTTATCCGTTAGCAAATACAAGCAATATTAACAACTTGTACACCGAATTTGTATTATCAAACGCTCTTATCATCTGATTTGCAAATGAAGTCGTGGTAAAAGAACTATATAAGCAACGGATAGCGACAAATTTATCGTTTAATTAACAGTCGATTAACTTATTTAATTTAAATTAAATTAAACACCTCGGCGGAATGTGGGCTTGACTTTTTTCATTTTTGCTAATTGGAGTTTTAAATGTCTTTTTCACGGAATATAAATTATGTCACTTGGGTGTTGTGTTTGTGGGGATATTTCTGAATTAACGTACACAATAGGTAATTACAAAAGATGATAAGGGAGATATGAATTATTTCGATGATCGTCACTTTAGCGTTCGTTCCCCAGCGGAAGAAATGCTTATCAATGATTCCGGGTGAGTGGAAAATTGCAAGGAATCGTAATTGCAACGATAACGACAATCAATATATCTTTCATACAATAATACGAGTTTTCACATCTAACGATAATTCCTTTCCTTAAGATTTATGCAAACGGTGGGCCGTGGGGGGAGAAGGGCTTGGAAACGTGAGGGAGGTTAGAGAGGGCTAGATATGATAAGACAAGGGGTGGTATACTTGATCTCGCGAAAAATGCCAGGTAAACATTTAGAATGAAGAGTTCGAAGGTATTACGAGGTTAAGATTACACCGAACGAGTTGTTTTTTTTTTGTTTCCCTTTAAATAACGTTTACACACAATCAATGATTAGGTGCTCCCTTCGCGCGTCTCGTATAACCCTAAAGAGACCTTAACGTGTACACTCAATAACTTGGGCGCGCATTTCTTATCTTTCTTTTTTTTCTTTCTTCCCCACTTTAAATACGTAAATTTAGTTTAGTTCCAAAACACCGAGAGAGTAGCTTCGCTTACATGTGATTTTTCGTATTATAATTTTTTTTTCTTTATAAGGAATGTCTTTTAACACCGAACATACATGCCTTACGTTATGTACAGCCTAGAGTTCTTTTCAGTCGTATAAGAGTCATGATGAGTGCGTGCTTTTGACTATGTGTAAAAAAATGAAACCTTCCCATATCGGTATCAATGTTATCATCGTTCCTTCTAAATCCGGTCGACTATCGCTCTGCCACGAGGGGCCAAAAAGTCGAGTCGACGTTTCGCCCTGGCTGAAGTGGTCGGCCATCTTGCCTTCCCGTCAGGCCTTGCGCCCGCCAGGGGGCACCACCGCCTCCATTTTGGTCCAGCGGAAATAAGTCGACTGGTCAGCCTTCAATTTTAATTCGAACGCGCGTCTACCGACAATTTGCGGGGTGGGTCCTTAGGGTGGGAGGGATAAGATACGATTTCTCTCCTCAGAGATGATAAGAAGTGGAAACACATCCGTCTCTCGATCAGGTCCACCAAAGCGGTCGGATAAGATCCGCATTCACCGGCATCGTTTCCGCCCAGAATTCCCGAATCTCACCAGAGAGCTTATCAGGCAGCTTCGAGTGATAATGAGAGTCTGCCAATTCTCGGGAATTTCTCATTCTCGAGGCATCTCGGAACGGAAAAGTGAAATCTCGGACGAGCGAACGCTTGCCAACGTCCTCGTGCGTCGTCGTCGTCGTCGCTTCGACGGATTTCTTTTTTTTTCTTTCCCCCCCGGTAAACGAGGTCGTCGATGAGGGTCCCTCCAAAGATCTAGAGAAAGCTCCCGATGGGAGGGAAAAAATTAGAACGAATGGTTCCTTTCATTTCTCACGGATAGGAAATTTTCAGTCGGGTGGAGGGACGTCGGAGCGTCCTCGTTACCATGGAAACCCTGTAGATAGATGTCTATAGAGATTTTCATTTATAAATATCGTATACAAGCCAATCGGCTGATTTTAGGACCCTTTGCAGTTTTTCTTGTTTAAACATTCGCCCGAGGCCTTTTCAAATGTTTGCGATCCTTCCCACAGTGTAAAAAGCATCGGATGAGCTAAAGACAGGAATATTCCTTGAGAACGCTTTTGTCACCTTCAAAATTAATCCAGATATATGTTTTCCAGGTGTTTTGGATTGAAAATCTCGAGTCCAGATATTATCCGAGTATCTTCAGTTGATAGAAAATGTTTTTACCAGAGCCGTTCCTGAAAAGTGCTCCCTCGTCATTAAACGTAAAATTGTTGGTAATGAAGAAACAATATAAGAAAAACATTTCTCTCGCATAACTGTTTAAAACAATCTACATATAAATATACACGTAAACGCTGCATGTAAAATTCTTAATTAAATAATATTTAATTAAATTGATAAGAGCGGCGTTATTGTTTTTGCACTTGGACGGCCAACAACTCAGAAACGGCACTGATGTTTACAATTCTTAGAGACAATAATTTCGTTACATTTTTTTCAGTGTTTTTCAGATGTCTAGACACTCTAGGTACACTTTGAAAACGTTTAATGTTCGTAACGAGTCGGTCTTAAATGACTTTTAAGGGGATGCGAAAGTGCCATCAAAGAGTACTCGTTCATGAAACTTTTCTCCAAACTGGGTGTACTAAATCGATTCAAACTTTACAATATAAATATAAAGGATATAAGGAAGGTCCTGAAACTCATGAAATTTCAATTTTTAAAAAAATTTCTTCCTAGATATTTTAAGATTTTTTATAAAAAATGAAATTTTAATGGGTGTCGGAACCTTCCTTACAGCCTTCACATTCATGTTGTAAAGTTTGAAACGATTCGATACCCCCAATTTGGAGTAAAGTTACACGAACGATTAAACGCTCGGATGTCACTTTCACATCCCCTTAAGAACGCTGAATATTTTATTTATTTATCTCAGGAAGATTTCTTCCAACACTGAGTATTGATAGAATGGATTAATGCTTTAGAAAATTGTATTCGCCGTTACGAAAGAATTTATTGACAGTGTTGGATTATTTCCGATTATGAAAACTGTTAAGGAATATCAGTGTTTTATAATGGACATTTTTACACCGTGGGATATAACACAATCATTGAAAAATGGTGTCTATCCCATTTAAATCGGGTTTTCTTTCATTGCGGTCCAATATGGCGGTCGGCTTCTACCTACAGGTCGTCCGGGCGAAGAAACGACGACAGCGCCGCCAGTGGCGCATTCGTGCACGAGCGACACGCACGACCCCGACAACCAGGTCCTGAGACCTCATGCCGGCACTCTAATCTCAACGGGCGCGGTATATCTAAAATCTAAAGAGAGTTATTTTTTTTTCCCTTCCCGAAACATCCGATTTCTTCACCGACCCATCCCAAAACGCGAATTCTCTTCATTCTTAACGTCATCGGGCCCACACTACCTCTATCCGCGAAGATAAAGCAGGTACAGAACAGAGGTCCCGATAAATGCGATACCAGGGCGGCCATTTTGTTGTGATTTTGAAATGAATCCCCATAGGTATACATTAAGGATATATTCCAGCGATTACTTAAGGATATGCGGATGCGGAACGAGGCCAAACAATGAGATTTCCATTTCCGGTCGCCTCCATTTTGTACCTCGTTTTACTTTGTCCCTTCGTATATATCACATCTTCGAGGGCGAAAGCCAAAGCTATCTAACCTCGATCTTGACTTTCCTCCCCACGACTTGAGCGTCCCTTCTCCCGGGGTCTCGCGCCACATCTTTCGTTCGCGGTGAAAAAATCTATAGTCTCTCGTACTGCTACGCTTCTCCGCTATGGTAGAAAATTTGCATTCGTATCAAAAAGGGCTTCAACGCCTAATAAACAACTGCTTCAAGAAGAGACCCGAATGGAGAGCGCGCCGTGAACATTTGTCTTTCCCCTCTACGTAGGTTTTGCTCCTCGCCACACACAGCGCGACAGGGTGAAGTCCCGTTAATCCCGTCTAAGATCCGCGTGTCGCCACCGGCACGGTCGTCCAGCGCCGCCGGGAGTTCCGCGGTCAGCGGGCGAACCATGTAAACGACGAGCTCGGTCGGTAAGGAAGAGCCCCGCCACATTCGGCTTCCTCCGGGCCCGTCCTCCGGGTTTCCTCCGGCGCGTAGGTCACCGTGCAAACGCTCGCACTGTTCCTGGAGTGGTCTTGGCTTTTCTCTCCTTTACAAATTGTTTCTTAGCAGCGAGAAAAAGCAAAACCACGAACGCGATTGGTTTAGAGAGAGGGGAACGGAGGAAACCCGAAGAAATCCACGGAGCTCTCCCTTACAGAGGCCGTCGGGAATGCCCTTGTGGTTCGTCCCGGCGTCGCGGGACGGTCGGTAAAGCAGAGGGCGGCGACGCGGAGCTCCCACTAAAACGTAAACGCGGGACGCGCGTTTCCCTAGTGTATATAACGCCGGCCTGAATAAAACTGAGATAGAGAATATTGTCGCCTTGTGAAAACGCCTTCTGACGCGCCAACAAAAGTCTTGGCTCGCTTCCTCGTCGCATTTGTAATGACCAAAAATATATGTATATATATATTATTCTTATATAATATGTTGCTCCTTACAAGTTAGGTAATGTTAATAGTAAGTAGGTAATATTAGGTAGTTTTACATTGATAGAGAAAAAATACGTTGTGTTAATTTTTCATCTGCCCTTCGTAGTACGGTCAACGTCGCGCGCTTGCGTTTATGTACTCGTGTATACGTGTGCTCGTGAGTCTCCGTGTGGGAAGGGATGGTATCGCGCGTATATGTGTGTGTACGTGTGTGGAAAGTCATGTCGGTGTGAGCGCGTGTCTACCGATGCGTGTCCTAACGCGTGTCTGCACTGTTTCTCTACCTACGGTGTGTCGCCTGTGGGTATTTCAACGTTTCCGTATTTCATTTCCATATTTTTGTCCTTTAAATCGCCATAGTCGAAAGAGTCGTACCGCGCGTGGCCGCCACTAGGGCGCGCGCGCGCGCAGTGGATTACTGCTGGGATCGCAATGGTTCACGGTTACCGGTGTAAGCTTTTGCGTGCTTTTTCATTCCCTTGGGTCTAGCTTCTTTGCGTTTCGCAACTTGGATTCCCCACAACGGTCAAGGTGGGCAGGTCGGGGATTGGCTGGAGCTCTACCGATTTCGGGACCACGCGCGAGGACCAGCCTAACGCGTCGAGAACCGACCTCGGAGGGCGTCGATGGTTTCGCGATCAGCCGATGGCGATCGGACGACCATCGGCGCTGGCGGATCTAACGTTTCTAACCTAGGCTCGAACCACGTACGTCAACTGGAATTCTAGAGGTCCGTAGATCCACCCGAGCCACCCGATCCACTGCTACCGAGTACACGGGTTGGTTTGGAGACGCTCGCACGTGGTGCCGACTCGTCGATAGTGCCCGTAAGGGATAGGTGCGCGGGTCGAGTGCTTCGGAGGGTCGGGAACACGGGCGTTACTTGTAAACGTTACCGTTACCGTAACTGTCTAACTTTACTTTGAAGATACTGACTTTCGTCTACTGCTCTACGGAGTCTTCCATGGTGAGGACAGCGCCGTGTTCCTGGGGTGGCTGGCTGTTCGGCACAGAGGGTTGGGGCTGCTCGCCAGACCTTGCGGTACCGGTGTTGTAGCCTCTCTGCAGTTGCACCACCAGGCCGCTCACGGCCGCGTACTCCTTCTGCTGCTGTTGCTGCTGCTGAGTCTTCTGGCTCGAATGATCTACTATAAGCTTACTATCACAGGCACTTTTTTTGTCAGTTGATACGGCATAGAGGTTGTGTAAGTCCGGGTAGTGGTTCAGCTGCTGCTGCAAGGTCAGAGTCTTTCTATCGCGCTCCCGGTCCTCCTGCCCGTTATGAACCTCCCGTTCCCTGCTGCCCAGGTCGATCCTCGAATCGCGAGTCTCCTCGTCCCTGCTGCCGGTCCTAGAGACTGACATGGGAGTCGGTGGCGAAGTCAGCCTATCGCTGCCATCGTCCGCTCGACCTCGCTCCGAAGGCGACGGACTTAAATCTACCGTGGGCACACGTTCAGGCCTCTCCAGAAGCGGTCTTCCCGATCCCCGGTAACTCTCGTCCTCACTGCTGTCCTGAGCCATTCTCGGGAGGGGCGTCCTCCGCGAGTTCCTGCAAAGCTGGTCGATCAGGGCTTTACTGTTCACTGATTCTGGATGGTGTTGCTGCGTTTGCTGCTGGCCCCTCGCTTCGGCGATCGCTCGCTGGTCCCTAGAAACGCCCGTCTCCAGGCTCGACCTGATCAAGTTGTCCAGGAAGTTGCCATTCGCTCCCGTTCCGTCGTACTGGCTCTCCGCCATCTCCCTAATTGATTTCGCTATTGACGAGTTCCGGGAATTGGAAGTTCCAGGCTCGGCCGGAACGTTTATACCCTCCCGATCGCGTTGCTGCTGTTGTTGTTGCTGTTGAACTATCGCGTTTCTTTGCTGTTCTTGCAGCCCTCGCATCCTTTGAGTCGCGAAGTACTGTTCTGGCAGCATGGTGGGCACATTGGGAGCGCCTGCCATGAAAGGTGATGGCATGAACGGCGTTGGACCCCAAAAGTTGAAGGGATGGGCGAACGGCAAGTGGGGCATTCCCTCGATAAAGGGAGGCATTTTCAGGCCATTCGGGCCTGCGATTGGCCCAGGAGGTGTAAAGGGCTTCTGTGGCTTCAACTGAGGTTTCTTGTCAGGCCCTCCCTGCCTCATAGCTGCGACCGTAGCTGCTGCCTCCTTGGCCTTGTCGTCTGGCTGCTTCTGGTCCCTAGACAAAGGAGTAACATTGTCGGAATTAGGTGTCACACTCTTCATTTCGGACTGCAACAATTTTCAAAGAGCAATGAATCTACCATTGTTCTTATCATCAGCGGATCAAAAGAACAGGTTTAATTCAACATTTTCCATGGACTTACCTCTTTCGCGGTCTCATCAAATGTCGTTCCTTGACTTTGTACTCCAACGTGGAATGTGGTACCCCATAATAGCTCCCCGCTCTATGGACGCTCATCTCCCCTCGTTGCACGGCTCTGACGGCCTCTACCAAGCTGTCCCTGTCGTAGTTCCGGTATTTGCCACGTTTTGGCCTAGTGCCCTTGCCTCCAGTACCAGGCTTGGGCTTGTTCTCCTGGCTGGATTTGGGTGGCTGTTGCATCTGCTGTTGCGTCGGTTGAGGCGGCGTATATCTTCCCCGTTTGAAGGGACTGGGCTCCGACATCATCGGCGACTGCACAACCGCCTGCGGCATGCCCTGGCCCTCCTGGAACTTGATGCTGATGCTCTTGGCGATAACGTCCCGGAAGTTGACGCCTACGCCTTTGCCGACGAGTGAGTTTGTAGGACTGCTAGTGCCGGAGAACGCGGGACTCGCCCGCTCCAGGAGGCCCGGACTTCCGGCAGCGCTGGACGCCGCTGCGAAACTTTGGGCGAAAGCTGCCGGGCTGGGTTCGCCATTTTTGCTGGAACCCGGCGTGCTCGCGGGTTTGTAGGACGGAATTTTGAGTATGGCTCTACTCTGGGCACTGTCGCTCGCCTCCTCTTCTATACTGGGATTGAAATCCTCGTTCGTCATTGGACCACGCTGCTGTTGTTGCTGCGTCGGCGTCGGTGGTTGAGGCTGCTGTTGCGGCTGCTGTTGTTGTCCCTGCTGCTGTTGCTGCTGGGGATGGTGGTGTTGGTGTTGCTGTTGGTCGCCGTTCACGTCTTTGCTGAGCCTCTTGTCCTCGCTCATCAGCCTTCTCATGACCTCCGGAATTCTGTAGTCCTGCGTCTCCAAACCTGAAATCACAGCACTTGGATCTTATTGGATCCTGGATTCGTTTCGACGTTTCTGAATAGAATTAGCGACATATTGTGGGAATTTGGCTCATCGTGTCGGGAAGCATTCCTTCAATCGCGGATTAACCTCTCCAAGGCGCTCAAACGTCAGATAAGATCCAAACGGCTCGGAGGATGCTGAAGACATCAAGCGGATAGAGCCAAGCTTCGATTAATCCTGAAGTCTTAATAAGTTTTCTTTAACGTTTTGAGTTTCTCTGCTCATTTTGCTAATAGATACCAGCACTTCTGGTTAGTTAGAGAATATCTCTTCATTATTACTTTACTAAAATGGCATGTAAAACGCTTCATTTCGTATAATTCTCAACGTAGACTGTAAAGGACTTCAACATAAATATAAATGTCAGTAACGAGACGCGCCAGCTTATGTTGCCAGTTGAGGATCCAAAGTGACGGCACCATCAAAAAGTGGATAGACGAATTTTTATTTCTTCACCTAGGTTAAATTTCTCAGCGCCTTTCATGTCATCTTTATGCCTGGGTCTGTGACGTAGGAGTTGGCGGGTCTTACCTTTGAATGGCGCCGCTGCAGCGAGCATCTTCTGGATGTAGGGTCCGATGTTCGCGTGCTCGAACCCTGGCCACTCGGTTCCAGTTTCCTGACCACGTTGAAGCAACGTCCTCAGGGAGTCCCCTCCCGTTCCTTCCAAGGCCGAAAACCTGACCAGGTCCTCCAGCGAGAGCAGCGGCTTCATTAAAGCCTTCTCTACCTCTTTTTCCTCTTCCGTGCCCGACAGCTCCTTGTCATCCACCTGTCAAAAATGTTCCCTTCTAGCGTCTTCTGTACATCCCCGCATGAGCGTGGATGTACAAGATTGTTTGCCCTCTCGTTACGGTGCAACTTCCGTTTCTCGACGTTTTATGGGTCATGAGGTGTCTTGTGTGTCTGGATGGTTATCTTCAGTCTGTGTGGACATGTTTTTGTCGCGCCTAAATATTATGTTGATCATGGGTCATGGGGTGTTCTTGTGTGTTTGGATATTGATGTTGAGTTTGTGTGGTTTCGATATTGATGTTGTGTCGCGCCTAGATATCGTGTAGATCATGGGTTATGTGGTATTCCTGTGTGTCTTGATATTGATTTTGACCCTGTGGACATGTGTTTGCCGCGCCTAAATATCATGTAGATCATGGGTCATGGGGTGTTCTTGTGTGTTTGGACATTGATGTCGAATTGGTGTGGTTTGGATATTGATATGTCGCGCCTAGATATCATGTAGATCATGTGTGGTATTCCTGTGTGTCTGGATATTGATCTTAAGTCTGTGTGGACGTGTTTTTGTCGCGCCTAAATATCATGTAGATCATGGGTCATGGGGTGTTCTTGTGTGTTTGGACATTGATGTTGAATTTGTGTGGTTTGGATATTGATATGTCGCGCCTAGATATCATGTAGATTATGTGTGGTATTCCTGTGTGTCTTGATATTGATTTTGGGCCTGTGGACGTGTTTTTGTCGCGCCTAAATATCATGTAGATCATGGGTCATGGGGTGTTCTTGTGTGTTTGGACATTGATGTTGAATTTGTGTGGTTTGGATATTGATATGTCGCGCCTAGATATCATGTAGATTATGTGTGGTATTCCTGTGTGTCTTGATATTGATTTTGGGCCTGTGGACGTGTTTTTGTCGCGCCTAAATATCATGTAGATCATGGGTCATGGGGTGTTCTTGTGTGTTTGGACATTGATGTTGAATTTGTGTGGTTTGGATATTGATATGTCGCGCCTAGATATCATGTAGATCATGTGTGGTATTCCTGTGTGTCTTGATATAGATTTTGAGCCTGTGGACATGTTTTTGTCGTGCCTAAATATCATGTAGTCCGTTGAGGACTGTGTAGGAAGTGAAGTCATTGTTGACAGAAATGAATGGTGGTTGGGTTGAAACTTGTATGCATTATCATACAGTACTATCTTGATTTTTGGAATGATCGTTGTTCAAGAGTTTGCGAGATTGCGTTAACGTTTTGATATCATAAAATGTGTGGTTACTGAGTGTTAACGTAGTTGTGTATTATTGAAGCTGAGCAATTTTTAGCAATACTTAGATATAGTTTTTTTCAAGAAACTTGTTGGAATTTTCTGTCAAATATGTATTTCATGTTTTTTTTAATAATAATATAAATGCTAACTTTGTAGATTTAAAATAATAACAGATGTACATATATGTATTTGCCGTCAACCACATATTTCTTTATTTATTTGCTATTATGAAGCGTAATTAATGAATTTTTTGAAAAGAAAATTTGTACTTTCAATTGAAAAAAGGCCTTAGTGTTATTTGAAGTTCCGAATTGATAAAATAATGTTTCTGCACATTATTTGAACATTACAGTATATTTTTAATTACTACGTATGTGTCTGGGTTCAAGAATTAAAATGATGAGCCTAATTCAATACTGGAGCAAAAGTAATTCTCGAAATGCATATTTTTGTCAGAAAATCTCAAGTAACAAAGTCAACGATTATTAAATACTTTCGTTTAATGAAACTAAATTGCTTGGTCAGTAAAATGTTTCCTAACAGAATAAACTTCACTAATCCCCATAAAATTCTTCTGCACTTCTTTTGAATATATACGCGGAATATATGAAATCCTTTCATAGAGATTGTACTGTATCATGCTTCATCAATGTGTCTGTATTACATATTGTTGTCGCTTTTGTGAGTATTTGTTATTGAATGTGGTCCTTTTTTAAATCTTGTCTGTACAGCAATATTGTGTTTGTTTTATTCAAGATAAAGAAGAATCAAAAAATCAAGGATGAACACATCCGTTTCGATTAAAAATTTACGATCACTATTGAACTGTATACGAAAACCTGAAACGCGTGTAGCGTGTTTCAATAATAGTTTCAAGATTCTGAGATCCATTTATAGTTATTATGTGATTACTCATTCCATAGGTTTACTTGCATACAAATATTATTGTTTTCTTCAGAACAAAATAATTGTTTCTTGCAATTATATATGATTTATTCTATATAAAATCCTGGGATTAAATATGTCCAAAGAAATGTCAGATTAAGTAGACAAAATTCGTTTAAAACATCATAATTTTTCTTCTCAACAAAATAATTGTTTCTTGCAATTATATATGATTTAGGCAACAATATATATTTGTTTCAGTTAACGAATCATTTTTCTAAGTGTTTTGTCTGCTACCAGATGATTTTTCATCTTCCCAGTTTCTTATTGTTTTTGTAATCTAAGTTATTTAAAATTTGTGGACAAGTGAATCATGAAATAGTCATCTGATAATGTTATTAGATTTTTTAAATGTAATACCACTTAATTTTTTCAGATGATATGCAAAAATAAGAAACGCCATTTCTTCATCAAACTTCATAGAATTAAATGTTTTTGTTTGTGTCAGCAATTTGTTTCCTTGCTCTAGTTGTTCCTTGGAACTTCATGTATGAAAGATTTCTGAAATGTTCACCATCAACATGATCAGTTCCACGGATAATTATGAAATGTTCCTTATCAACATGACCAGCTCCACAAAGATTTATGAAATGTTCACCATCAACATGATCAGTTTCATAAAGATGTAAGAAAAGTTAATCATCAACATGATCAGTTTCACAAATAATTATGAAATGTTCACTATCAACATTGCCAGTTCCCAAAAGATTTATGAAATGTTCACCATCAACATGATCAATTTCATAAAGATGTAAGAAAAGTTCATCATCAAGATGATCAGTTTTCCATAATTTCTTGCATTATCCTTGAAAATCATTGAAGAACTACGATACTCATAAGTTAACCCGATATAAAGTCTATTTCGAAGTCCCTGAACAATGGCATTCCTTCTTATCACACATTTAATAATGCGATAGCAGAATTTTGGTTTCAACTATGTGGAAAATGATGCTTTCTATTTAAAAGCAGAATTAAGAACTGCCGACAAAGGCAAACGGAAGCCTAGTCTTTAGATTTTCTGCCTTAACAAGTCGAGCGGAGTTTAGGTCTCCAAAAACCGAAGACAAAATGGCGGCCCGAGCAGAGACATCGAGTTTGCCTTCACATGCATTTCAGATGCTCGTATACCTTCTTATCACACATTTAATAATCTGATAGCAGAATTTTGGTTCCAACGATGTGGAAAATGTAGCTTTTTATTATTTAAAAGCAGAATTAAGAACTGCCGACAAAGGCAAACAAAAGCCTAGTCTTTAGATTTTCTGCCTTAACAAGTCGAGCGGAGTTTAGGTCTCCAAAAACCGAAGACAAAATGGCGGCCCGAGCAGAGACATCGAGTTTGCCTTCACATGCAGTTCAGATGCTCGTATACAGATCCAATAGTAGCTGTTTAGAATTCCAATAGTTTAGTCCTGCGTGTAGAACGTGTGTGTGGTTTTAATGGCTGATCTGTTACGCATGCACGTGTAGATGTGACGTGGTCATGTTTCATTGAATGCAGAATGACCAAGCGCCATGCAGGGACTGCTAGGAAAAAATAAAGGTTGCGTCGCAACGAGCATCAGCAACAAGACGTCCAACTGGGCAGCAATCGTGAAGTCCAGGAGAAAACTGAGCCCGAGGTTTCAGGAAATCCCGGTAAGAAGTTAATGAGATTTAAACCAATGACAAAGGGACTTTCATGATTGATCCGCAGGAGTTGGAAGATTTGAAACTGATGGACATGACTTCCAAGTCGGTCTTGTATTAGGTCAGAACACTCATCCAGGGATCGATTCAATGATCAGCATCGAATCCAGGTTCCTTGGCTGATCGATCGATTGGTCCCTGGATTTGGGCATCGGTCTTTACGAATTGACACCAAAACTTACCTCGCTAATGACATTCAGGTATCATGCATTCAAGCGAACAATCAAGCAACTCAATGTCCGCGGTATAAGACGTGTGTTCTTTGTCGCGGACACAAACAGTCATTTGGAATTCGTTACCCACTTATGCCAAAGTTTCTTTCGCACTCGAAATCATTAGGACTTTGAGGCTGAAAGTTTAAGCAGTCTAGGGCTCGTTATTTTCGATTTGAAAGAACTTTTGCACAAATTTCGGAAGTGGGGACTGGAGTCTTTGAGCATTGGGTAGATTAAGGGTCCGAATTCTGAAGAGTGAGAAATCATTATCTTTGCTGTCATGACTATTATGTAGAATGCTGAGCAAATTGAAAAGTGCTGATTAAAATGATCTACACATGTCATTTGCGGTATAAGATTTTGTTTAATCTTTTCGAATTGCATTATTTATTATTTCACCGTGACTATCAATGATTATCAATGTCATGACTATCAATGTAGAATGCTGAGCAAAATGAAAAGTGCTGATTAAAATGACCTGCATATGTCATTTGCGGTATAAGATTTTGTTTAACCTTTTCGAATTTTATTATTTATTATTTCATCGTGACTCTCAATGATTATCAATGTCATGACTATCGATATAGAATGCTGAGCAAATTGAAAAGTGCTGATTAAAATGACCTACACATGTCATACGTGGTATAAGATTTTGTTTAACCTTTTCGAATTTTATTATTTATTATTTCACCGTGACTGTCAATGATTATCAATGTCATGACTATCGATGTAGAATGCTGAGCAAATTAAAAAGGGCTGATTAAAATAACCTACACATGTCATACGTGGGACAAGATTTCGTTTAACCTTTTCGAATTGTATTATTTACTATTTTACCGTGACTATCAATGATTATCAATGACATGACTATCAATGTAGAATGCTGAGCAGATTGCAAGAGAATGCTGGCTTGTCTCGGGGCTAACGCGTGCTTTTAAAGCAAAAATTTAGTTGCAGCTAAATGTCACAGATGGCGACGTTGGTCCTAAACAGTTGTTAGAATAATGAATTCTCGGGATTTCGACAGTTTTACGTCGATCTCTTTATCATTACTTTACCGAGATGACATGTGGAACGCTTCAGTTCGTATAATTCTCAACGTAGACTGTAAAAGACTTCAACATAAATATAAATGTCGGAAACGGGACGCGCCAGCGTATGTTACTTGAGTATTCAAAATGACATTACCACCAAAAAGCGTATAGATGAATTTTAATTTATCGACGTCGATTAAATTTCTCAGCGTCTTTCATATCATCTTAATTTTTGAAATGTATGGGAAATGCATACGGCCATACCCAAGAATTCAACATACCAGAACATAGGAGAATAAAAATCTTTAGGGTGATCATACCGAAACATTTTCTCCCGCGTCAGAAAGATGATGGCCAATTAAATGAAAATATTAATTCGGCAAGCATAATCCAGTAGCAATAAACAGTTACGTTGCTTCTACCAGATAGTAAATAAATGGTGGTATCGCTGCTATAGAATTTCATTTCTACGTAATAATTTCAGGAAATAACCTTATCAGCTTTAATCGGCTATCACGATTGTTGAATTATTCGAAGGAGAATCACGGACGAGCGGTAAGTATCCACCAATGATTCACGTAAAATAGCCGGTCGCCATAATCCACGCAATGCAGTTCCACTCAAGTCCCAAAGTCATCAACACGTTTTCTACTCCTCCCAAAACTTACCTCGAGTCTTGGAACTTCACGGGCGCCAAGTGGCCAAGTGTTAAACTACAAATAGTGATAAAAGAGTTAAACAGCCCATGCAAAAGACACAGGACACTACTCAGCATCACGGCAATGCAAGAACCGTGTAGACGTCGATCTCTTTCTGGACACGTTCAAAGACAAAGAAAGAAGGACAGTCAGAGGAGAGAGAAGACAACGTAGAAGTGTAGGAAGACAGAGAAACAGAGAAACGCTTAGTGAAAAGGACTCCACTGAAGAGAAGGATCCAAGGGACGTGCCCAAATCGCCAGGGTGATCATTCGACACTCCACCATCCACCGTGTCTACTTCAAAAACCTCCCAAGACATTGGAAGTGACCAGTTGTCAGGATCAGCACTGAAGGTGGAATTGTTGCCGGCAATCTCTTTTTGTTCGGTATGAACAGACAAACAGTCAAATATAGGAACCACGTTGACCAATCATTGTTGGGGTGTTGGGTTTTTACGATTATCTTTCACTCTGATGATTTGAATGGCGAATTCTGATGGTGTTGACTTTGATACAGGATGGGTTTATGAGGGGCGTCTTTGGGATCATCCTTCTCTTCAATGATCCCGTTAAACCAGCACCAATCGCAAGTTGTCACCAGCGGAACGATCCATGACGTGGATACGCGCGCAACGCGTCGCGAAGTCACCGTCTACACGTGTTCTCGCTATCACCATGCCAGAGGTATGTTTTGGGGAAGCTTCATTCGTTCTTCCTAACCAAAACCACACTTAGATACAAAAGGATGACTCTCTCTTTCCGCGGCGTCCAAGTCCACGACGGTGAATCGCGCCATCGGTTTCGAGTCCAAGTCCGTCTTTCGGAAGTCGCTAATCGCGTCTTGTCCACTTCAAGTGTTGCATCCCGAGTCAAGTTCTGTTGCGAGGACGTGATGACGTTCGTGACGAAAAGCAACATCCGTGAAAATCTTATCCTACCTAAGTAGGAAATAAGTTCCACTCCTTTTCGTTCATTAAATGTATTCCTAACGCCAGAGGATTTTCCATGAAGAACAGATCATCACGTTTTAAAAAACAGATGGATAAATAAACCCCTGTTAAAGCTGTTGGTGCTTTTGATGAGGGAGGTTTGTGGACTACTCTCTTTCTTCGCACTAGAAATTAGAAATATATACTGAAATTTCACGTTTTTTAGGAAGTGATCGAAAATGACACTCTGTTTCAAAGTTTGCTTATGAATTTTAACCAGGCAGAAAGCTGGCAATGGTAGTAAAATGAACTTTCTACTGATTACCAGTAAGTTTTTGGTTCTATAGTAGGATTGAGGAACTTTACGAAATCGACAACTTGTCAATATACACTATCAGTATACTTCGGATTACGTATATACGAGTAGAATCCTACGTCGATGTGTAGGGGATCCTATGCAATCAGAGAAATGTAAGAATGATTCTTAATATTTCTTTAACTCAACATAAGATGTGCTTATGGCATCATCTACTCTATATTTCCTAGTCAACTTTAAGGGGTTGCGAAAATTATATGGAGTGCACTGTGTGAAGATAAAAAGAACCAGGGATTGTTCCCAATTCCATGTGAGCACCTTCTAGCTGGGAGCCGAGAATAGTGTCTAGACAACTCTGGTTAGACAAATGCAACTCATTGCGTATAGGGTTCAGAAAGCTCATGAAAACATCTCTATACCTTCCCTAACTGTCCACCAAAAAGGACCCAATCGTCTGTATACCGCTACAACAGTTCCCCCCAAACATGGACTAGGAAACTGCAATCTTGAGACCATCTAGAAGAACCAGAGCACTATCCATTTCCTAGCCTAATTTTTCCAGATCCATTTAGTTGCTTCAACCAGCACAGGAACCATCTTTACTCTGCCTACAACTTTATCCTAGACTGTTAGGAAGCTGGCAGAAACCCCAGGATCTAAGTTCTTCCAGAAGACCAGCACCCTACAACAGAACGACGTAGACCAACGCCACGCACCCTAACTCTCAGTCAGTCCGTCATTCGATCAGTCAATTCCGAAGGTCTTCCAAGGGTCCAACGACAAAACCGAAGTGCCTTCAGTTCCGGTTCCGAATCCCGGACACATTCCGTCCAGTCATAAGGAGTCCGAGGATCGGGCGCGTTCCGGCGATCGAGTCGAGGATGTCCGTCGGTAGTCGCGAGGTACTAGTTTCTCGGTAGACGTTTGGCAGTTAGTGCGTACTCCTTGGCTCGCTCGTTTTCGTCCCCAAAACCTACCTCATCCACTTGCGGGGGCGGACTGGTTGCGGAGGCGTTTTGGGTCGTATTTGGTGTTGTGGCTGGGGCGCCGGACTCGTGAGGGTGTGAATGGGTGCTAGTCAGGGACGCGTCCCTTTCGCGCTCCATCGCGAGCTTGTAGACCTTGTTGCGCAGGGTGCTCCTGGGGATGCCGTAGATGACGGCGGCCCTGCGGGTCCCGAGCTTGCCGCTCTGGATGTCCCTCAGGGCGGCTTGCAGCTCCTCCTCGGTGTAGGTCCTGCGCCCACCGCCGGCGCCCACCACGGGCACGCCCGCCACACCAGCTACACCCGCCACGGACCCTGGGCCTCCAATACGCGGCTTCGCGCGGTACGACGAGCTGCAACAGAGGTTAGTTTTTCAAATCTCTTGGTACACATACGGAACATCTCGGAACACGTACGGAACATTCCGTATGTGTACTTGGTACACATACGGAACATTCCGTATGTGTACTTGGTACACATACGGAACATTCCGTATGTGTACTTGGTACACATACGGAACATTCCATACCAAGTACACATACGGAATGTTCCGTACGTGTAGTTGGTACACATGATTGGTACACAGTGTACTTGGTACACATACGGTGTTGTTACGAGTAAATCCCTGAATTTTAATTATTATTAATTGTTGTTATGTACGTTTCGGTACTACAAATCGATTACAATTTCATTTATCTCTTGACTCATTTAATCATTTATTAATTATAGGTTTCTCCTAACCTTACGTGATTGTATTTCGAGATCGAGAAACTCGCATTTGAACGAGATAAAGGAAAAAAAAAGTGTCTTTGCGTTGCTATTCTAAAACGATGGTAATACGAGGTCTCGGAGTGAAAATTTAATTGACATGGAAATCACAGATGGCGCAGGGGGTCCCTCTGCAGTTAATTAGGGCCTCGGAAACCACGAATCCAGAGGATTTCTGGAGTTTTACTTCGATTTCTTTACAATTATTGTACGAAAACGATAGGTGGAGTATGTCATTTAGTATAATACCCAATTTGAAGGCTCTGATATGAGAAACGAAAGAGTTAAGACAATTTTACGACAATTTAGAACACTCTGGTAATCGAGAAACTCGCATTTGAACGAGATAAAGTAAAACAAAGTGTCTTTCCCCTGCTATTCTAAAACAATGGTAATACGAGGTCTCGGAATGAAAATTTAGTTAACACGGAAATCAAAGATGGCGCCAGGTGTCCCTTTGCAGTCAATTAGGGCCTCAGAAAGCATGAATCCACAGGTTTTCTGGAGTTTTATTTCGATTTCTTTATAATTATTGTATGAAAACGACAGGTGGAGTATGCCATTTAGTACAATACCCAATATAACTCGACACAGCTGTCAATATAAAAACCAACGTCGGCAACCTAGGCATTTAGAAAAATCTTCTTTATCGACGTCGATCAAGTTCCTCGACGTGTTTCACTTCACCTTGATATCGGCGAACGAGGGATAGTTGAATTTTAGGTTTTAAGTCGTGGGCTCCGTTGCTGGCTCGCTTCACATAAAAGTGATCAATTGTTTAAAGCAGCAGAATTCAAACACGGAGACGGACAATCAATATTGGCACTCGTTTATCACGCTGCGACGTCTGTTTTGCAGCACGCGTGACCATTTAGCGAGATTTAAATCGGTTCGATGCTTATCACAATGCGGCAGAATTTCCCGCCAGTTGATTGCACTTCGCATGTATAATGCATTTTCGATTCTACCGGTTTTTCCCCCAATTTTTATTATTTTTCTACGCCCTCGGGATACGCGAACGAGTCTTCGCCTCGTCACCGATAAATCCTTTTCCCGTAATTACTGCAAATTATCCAGATATAAATTCCACTTCCGGTGTCGTGAAAGTGAATATTTTATTCTCAGTTGTTTACTTAAGGTTTAACGAGCAATTGCTCGTCCCGTCATCAATAAATCATTTCAACGTAATTATCATAAAGTGCCGTCATGTACATCGCAGCTTGACCGCGGTGAAAGTAAATGTTTTATTTATTTGTTGGTTTAAGGTTTAACAGTTGATCGCTCGTGTTGTTACGAGTAAATCCCTGAATTTTAATCACTATTAATTGTTGTTATGTACGTTTCGGTTATATTGATTGATTACAATTTCATTTATCTCTTGACTCATTTGTGCCCATAATTATGAAAGTGGTCTAAGTCATGTATTTTTTGTTTCGAAATTACATTGAATTCATTTAGTTTAAAATAATGTGGCGTGAAACAACTGATGAACTCATTTTTTTTTTAATTTTGACTTAGACCACTTTCATAATTATGGGCACATTTAATCATTTATTAATTATATAATAGATTTCTTATCACCTTACGTGATTGTATTTCGAGATCGTGAAACTCGCATTTGAACGGGATAAAAGCAAAAAAAAAGTGTCTTTGCGCTGCTATTGTAAAATGACGGGAATACGAGGTCTCGGAGTGAAAATTTAGTTGACACGGAAATCACAGATGGCGCCGGGTGTCCCTCTGCAGTCAATTAGGGCCTCAAAAACCATGAATCCGGAGGATTTGTGGAGTTTTACATCGATTTCTTTATAATTATTGTACGAAAACGACAGGTGGAGTACGTCATTTAGTATAATACCCAATTTGATGGCTTTGATGTGAGAAACGAAAGAGTTAAGACAATTTTACGACAATTTAGAACACTCTGGTAATCGAGAAACTCGCATTTAATCGGGATAAAAGCAAAAAAAGTGTTTTATGCGCTCCTATGCTAAAACGATGGTAATACGAGGTCTCGGAGTGAAAATTTAGTTGACACGGAAATCACAGATGGCGCCGGGGGTCCCTCTGCAGTCAATTAGGGCCTCAGAAAGCATGAATCCACAGGTATTCTGGAGTTTTATTTCGATTTCTTTATAATTATTGTACGAAAACGACAGGTGGAGTATTCCCCTCCGTACAGCACCCAATATAATTCGACACAGCTGTCAATATAAAAACCAACGTCGGCAACGTAGCCATTTAAAAAACTCTTCTTATCAACGTCGATGAAGTTCTTCGACGTGTTTCACTTCACCTTAAGAAATAAAATTAATTAACGCGGAGTGAAAAAAAAAAGAATTGCGGCTGAATCACTGGTCGGTGCTTGTTGCACTTTGTACTTTCCTTGAATTGAATTTGCAGGGTTCCGGTGGTTTTAATGGGCGTCTAATTGAATCGCAAGGAGGAATGCGCGCATTCGAGCTTGCTGTTCGATTTGGTGCATTCCAGAGTGCACCCTGGGGTACTCGGGGGCATTCCGGGGTATTCCGGGGTACTTCGCTTGGATGCGTCGGGAGGTGCAGATTGCGGTGCACTAATAATAGACGACGATAAAAATTTGACGCGCAAAATGCGCCGCGGGAAAAGAGCGAAAACACGAGGGCAACGCTCGCCTCTCCTCCTCTCCTGGAGAGAGTGCTCTCTCTATCTGGTTACCGAACAGTGTGTGGGCGTTTACATGTGGAAGCCATAGCGTTACACACGGACGGGCTAACGATAAATCCCTGTCGGATTAAAGGAGAGCCGTGAAAACTCGCCGAGCTGACCGGAGAACTTGGGGAGAAAAATCGAGACCTTTTTCCGAAGCCCAAGCACCGCCGAACGTGGAATATACGTAAATTTAACGTATATAAATGTTTATTTAACGTATGTGAAATATATATAGATATCTATGAATATATATAAATATCTGAGACCTTTTTCGAAGTGCCTGATAGCGTGAAAAGTCGGCAGGGGCGAAAATGAATCTATTATTGATAAATTTTGACTGCAAAAATTCATTCCTTTTTTCCAATTCATTGCCAATGTTATGAAGAATCAGCGAGAAATCGCTTGAAATTGACGGAAAAAATTGAATCAATGACAATGGCGGAGTTTATGTAGAGGAACATTACGAAAGAATCATTGAAGTTCTAAATGCGGACTTCGGCATATAAGTAATTGCAATTCCTAATCACTGACGTTGGTTACATCGAGAACACATTTTGCGTCTTGAAATTGGCGGAAAAAATTTAATCAATGACAATGGCGGAGTTTATGTAGAGGAACATTACGAAAGAATCATTGAAGTTCTAAATGCGGACTTCGGCATATAAGTAATTGCAATTCCTAATCACTGACGTTGGTTACATCGAGAACACATTTTGCGTCTTGAATTTGACGAAAAAATTGAATCAATGACAATGGCGGATTTGATGCAGAGGAACATTACGAAAGAATCATTGAAGTTCTAAATGCGGACTTCGGCATGTATTAAATTAGCGCATCATAATTCATATTAGTTGTTTTTCTTTTCTTTTTTAAAGTGCCATAGGAATGGATATTACGTGTTGGCAGCATACATCAGCGTGATAAGGTACTCTTGGAGAAGCCGTAGGGTTACACACGTACAGGTCAACGATAAATCCTTGTCGGATTAAGAATCCCGAAAACTTGTGGAGCAGTCCGAAGAAGTCGCGACGAAAAATTGTGATGTTCCAGACGTGGGAAATTTTCTCGATTTGGAAATAGCGCGGAGTAAAAGTCATCGAGAAATGTGGAAAAACGAGAAATCCGGACATTTTATGTGAAGTGTAATTTATATATCATATATAACATTAAAAAATAAAAAACTCACGCCGGAGGATTAGATCCAACATGGCGGAAGTAAAGCTTGAAATTTGACTACTATTTCGAAAGTTGAAATTGTTTAAAGCTACGCAGTATTTATTATTTATTTAATATGAGACACGCTTAAAATAGATGTCTCTCTCAATCTTTCATACCTGTCTTTACATTCAATACTCTCTTTTCATGTGTACATATATAATATATGTTGGCTGTGTGCCAATTGCGATTCTTCCGTAATGTTCCTCGACGAAAAATTCTGATGTTCCATACGTGGGAAATTTTCTTTATTTATAAATTGCGCGGGAGTTAAAGTCATCGTGAAATGTGGATAAATGAGAAATCTGAACATTTTCTGTGAAGAGTAATTTATATTTGACATATAACATTAAAAAATAAAGAACTCATGCCGGAGGATTAGATCCAACATGGCGGAAATAAAGCTTGAAATTTGACTATCATTTCGGAAGTTGAAATTTTTTGAAGTTACGCAGCATTTCATTTCATCAGCGGTATACTTTATGAACGAATAAAAAACTTACAATTTTGAATAATAAACCTGTGATTCCTATCAAAATTCCTTCTTGCTTTAAGTGCGGGACACCCTCTACTATTTCATGAGCGAATGTGTCTCTTTACTTGTTTTCTGTAGGACACATAACCGTCGATGTATTTCTCGTTTCTCGAGTTCCTTCAACTGCGGAATGCGGTGTAAATTAAGCCGACATGATCGCGGACGGCCATTAAATTGTTCGTACTTGTCTTGTACTAATCATCGGCCATTATCGTCTTCGAGGAACGTTGATTTGCGATTCGTTTCCTGGTCGCGCGACCATGAGACGCGATATCGGTAGTGGTGGAAATAATACCTCGCGATTAGTATCGATTCCTAACACTAAAATATCAATACTTAAGGTGAAGTGAAACACGTCGAGGATCTTGGTCAATGTCAATAAAGAAGATTTTTCTAAATGTCTACGTTGCCGACGTTGGTTTTTATATTGACAGCTGGATCGAATTATATTGGATATTGTACCAAATGGCATACTCCACCTGTCGTTTTCGTACAATAAATATAAAGAAATCGAAGTAAAACTCCAGAAATCCTCTGGATTCATGGTTTCTGAGGCCCTAATTGACTGCAGAGGGACCCCCTGCGCCATCTGTGATTTCCATGTCAATTAAGGTGAAGTGAAACACGTCGAGGAACTTGATCGACGTCGATAAAGAAGATTTTTCTAAATGCCTACGTTCGTTTGTATATGGACAGCTGGGTCGAATTATATTGGATATTGTACCAAATGGCGTACACCATATGTCGTTTCCGTACAATAATTATAAAAAAATCGAAGTCAAACTCCAGAAATTCTCTGGGTTGATGGTTTCTGAGGCCCTAATTGACTGCAGAGGGACCCCCTGCGCCATCCTGTGATTTCCAGGTCAATTAAATTTTCACTCCGAGACCTCGTATTACCATCGTTTTGGCATACAAGCGCATACAACACTTTTTTTGCCTTTATCCCGTAAAAATACGAGTTTATCGATTACCAGAGTGTTCTAAATTGTTGTAAAATTGTCCTGACCCTTTCGAGTCTCATATCAGAGCCTTCGATAATTGTATATTGATCGAAATATGAGAGCTTGACGCCATTTTGGTTCTGGTCTGGGTTGAGTTAAAAAATTTTGTTAAAAAATCCAAATGTTGAATGTGTCAGGACAATTCTTAGATGATCAGGAGTGATGTGTCAAAGTTTCGGATAGTTTGGTATAATACCCTTAAAAAAAGTGTTGTAGTCGAATGGACTGATTTGAAGGGATTTCTTGTAGAATTCATTCGAAGATATATGAAATATTGCTTGAAAATCTCAATGGCATATTTAGTTTCAATAATTTATAAACATATATACAGATTATATATTTTAATGTATGAACATATAATAAAAATACATTTCTAGATATCGGTACTCAGGCTAAACTCGCGCAATTCCGTTTAACAATAAGTACCTTCAAAGAAAATAATTTCTAAATATTTCTAAGAAAAGAAAATAATTCTAAATATTAAGCACCTTCAAAGGGTCTTACTTACTTGAAGATGCTCTTCGGGTCAATGCCTGCGGGCATCCTAAGAGGTATTTTTTGTTGCTCCAATAGGGATATGTTGTTGTCCTGTAACCAAATGTAAACGCAATTATAGACAAGAGAAACAAATGTCTAATTCTTATTTTTTCTTTTTAAACCTAATATGCAGGAAAATAATTTCTAAAACCTACGCAGAAAAATAATTTCTTGCACATGGGAACTTTCAAATAGAATTCGACTTTACGTGAGAACATAAATAATTATTTAATCATATCCTTGCAGCGATTTATTAATTATTTCATCGTGCAAATTATCATACGGGGCACGAACTACTTTACACATCCTACTAAAAATCTATTACGGTAGAATAACAAAGGGAAAATATGGAATAATCTATAAAGAGGTTGAAAAGTGTCCGCAATACCATGCTATGTATAATAAAAAATTGAAGGATGCAAACTTCGATGATGGATTGCACCCTGTACTGTCTGCTCAATGGGTACTTTTTAGCGTATAGAGTACCATCGCTTTCTCGACTATCAGCAGATAGGATTCAATCACTATTAGGTTAATCGCTAGTACATGCCTTCGTAACGTAATAACAGGAAATTGGAAAACTCGGCAGAATTGAAAAACAATCTAGTACGAGAGTCTTGAAATTCATATAAAACTCGTACTCCTCCAACAATTCATACCCTGATTACCTAACTTTTCAAAATTGCTCTCAACATGCATGCAACTATTTACACCACAATTGTGTGTACAACAATTATAGAAAAGTGCCTTGCTTCGACCCTACGTTTACCTTAATGAGAACTTTGGCAACTTTTAAAACACACACACACACACACACACAGGTGCCAACAGGAGCCTTTAAGGTGATATGAAAGAGACAGCCCATATGTATCTGAGAAGTCAAATCGTCGGTGATAGTATTTCCCGAACTCTAGAAAAGTGCCTTGCTTAGACCCTGCGTTTACCTTAATAAGAACATTGGCAACTTTTAAAACACACACACACACAGGTGCCAACAGGAGCCTTTAAGGTGATATGAAAGAGTCAGCCTATATGTATCTGAGAAGTTAAATCGTCGATGATGGTATTCCCCGAATTGGGGGTACTGATTTGTTTCAAATTTGACCACGGGAATTTAGAGACCCTAAAGTAGGTCCTAAAACTCATGAAACTTCATTTTTCATATAAAATATATTTATTCATCATGGACTAGAACCAGCATGCCGTAGTCCGGACGCATTTTCGATGTTTTACGCTTCTTGGAGGCTTAGAATCGAAATTTAAGAGTTTCAGGACCTAGCTCGAACAATTTAGAACACCGTAGAAATGAAATATTACAGAGTCAGATGGGAAAATATGGAAAATACATTGCCCAACGATTGAAAGAGCTTGGCTTGTCTCGGGGCTAAGACATGTTCTTAGAGAAGAAATTTAGTTGCGACTAAACGTCACAGATGGCGACGTTGGTCCTAAACAGTCGTTAGAACAATGAATTCCCGGGATTTCACAGTTTTACATCGACCTCTTCATCATTACTTTACCGAAATGACATATGAAACGGTTCATTTCGTATAATTCTCAACGTAGACTGTAAAAGACTTCAACATAAATATAAATGTCGGTAACGGAACGCGCCAGGTTATGTCGCCACTTGAGTATTCAAAATGTCGTTACCACCAAAAAGGGTATAAATGAATTTTAATTTGTCGACGTGGATTAAATGTCTCAGCCCCTTTCATATCATCTCAAATCATCCGATCATCACCATATCTCATTACACAGACATTGCACAGATTTATAGGACTTTGTTTCCAGCTGGATCCTTTGGTAAGCACTCATGTTTGATTTTAGGTGGAGCAGCGAATACCTGAGAATTCTTGGGCTTGGCCGAGAGATTGAACCATCAAAAAGGGTATAAATGAATTTTAATTTGTCGACGTAGATTAAATGTCTCAGCCCCTTTCATATCATCTCAAATCATCCGATCATCACCATATCTCATTACACAGACATTGCACAGATTTATGGGACTTTGTTGCCAGCTGGGTCCTTTGGTAAGCACTCATGTTTGATTTTAGGTGGAGCAGCGAATACCTGAGAATTCTTGGGCTTGGCCGAGAGATCGAGCGGCTGATCGACGACCGCGTTGGTGTCCTGGTGCGCCTGGGCGCCAACAAGGGGCGCCTCCCTCGGGGGCAGACACCATTGGGGCAGCAGCGTGGGGTAAGTGCCGCTGAGGGCGGCCGCCACCACGGAAGCAGCCATGGGGTCGACCTGGACCGACATCGGAGACTCCGCCGATCGAGAGCTGCTGCTGCTGTCGCTCTGGGGACTCTGTAATCAGCCACCGAGAAACGTCTCTCATCAGTTTCACCTCTTTTCTTGGGCAAGACCCAACGACATGGACCAAGAGGACCATTCATGAGGTCCAGAAATGGAAGTTCCTGTCCTGGCCACGTCGATGGGACTTCCGCTTTCGAGATCGAATCGCATCTCGGTGGTTCTTATCGGATACATCCCTCATGAATCTTTAACCGGAAACTCAAAGAACGCTGCTTAATGGTGTTTGGTGGTAGTTTTCTACTGGTTGTGGTCCCTTTGGAACTTTCTTTGGGGGCGGGTTAGAGGTTTCTTGATAGGATTTGGGTGGCAACTACTCATGGGGTTAGGGGACCAAAAGTGCACTGAGAAACCTGGTTGTGGAAGGTGGTCGCCTCAGTGCTTTGCGATATTGCACGGAAAAGAATAATTTGGTTAGAATTACTACAGGGACATGGTTAAAATACTGTGGGAAGTGAAACCACATAAATGGTGAAATTTACCACATGCAGTGGGAACTCTATCTATGTATATACTGTATCCATGGCGCTGCACCAAAAGGTGCAGGAATGATTATCATTTGTAATGGTAATATTAACTACACTAAGAAGTTACAAGACGCACAGGAAGATGGAAGGTTCATCTGGGAGCTGTAACCACATATTATAGAAAGGTTATACCCGTTGCAAGGTTATTCTACATTTGCCTATGTGATTGCAAAAACAATGGTTTGGCCCTCTGTAATCAGCCACCGAGAAACGTCTCTCATCAGTTTCACCTCTTTTCTTGGGTAAGACCCAACGACATAGACCAAGAAGAGCCAACATGATCGGGTCCTTCCCAATCAGAGACGGACCATTCATGAGGTCCAGGAACGGAAGTTCCAGTCCTGGCCACATCGATGGGACTTCCGCTTTCGAGATCGAATCGCATCTCGGTGGTTCTTATCGGATACATCCCTCATGAATCTTTAACCGGAAACTCAAAGAACCCTGCTTAATGGTGTTCGGTGGTAGTTTTCTACTGGTTGTGGTCCCTTTGGAACTTTCTTTGGGGGCGGGTTAGAGGTTTCTTGATAGGATTTGGGTGGCAACTACTCATGGGGTTAGGGGACCAAAAGTGCACTGAGAAACCTGGTTGTGGAAGGTGGTCGCCTCAGTGCTTTGCGATATTGCACGGAAAAGAATAATTTGGTTAGAATTACTACAGGGACATGGTTAAAATACTGTGGGAAGTGAAACCACATAAATGGTGAAATTTACCACATGCAGTGGGAACTCTATCTATGTATATACTGTATCCATGGCGCTGCACCAAAAAGGTGCGGTAATGATCACCATTTGTAATGGTAATATTAACCACACGAAGGGATTACAATACGCCCAGAAAAATGGAAGGTTTATCTAGGAGCTCTAACCACATATTATAGGAAGGTTATACCCGTTCCAAGGCAAAACTAAATCAAAAGGTATGCATTGTGTCGGAATATCATGTATCAAATTCCCTCCAGGAACGGATAGACAGAGTGTTGAACAAGCCGAAGTGTTTCCCCAGCTGTTCGCGCGATCGCAAATGATCTGTAGATTTATTTGGCCTTGTCTCGTTCGCGGCATGATACTTTTCCTAACTCGATTCGGAAGGGCGTGAACATACACAGAGTCCAACCTGGAGCTTAAAGGGTTGACCCCGCAAGTAAGTACACACATTGCAATCACGGTTCAGTTGAACCGTGTGGTGACACATGTTCTCCGGAGCCGGACCCTGCCGCAAATAGGTGAAACGGAGTGATCGATGTGGCCTTTTCTAATCCTAATGCATGCGATAAGTGCATTCACCGGTTGATGCATTAGAATACGGCCATGCAGATTGCAGTTATTGTCACGCTTAGGCGCGTAAGACAAAGGCTCGCTAGACAAAGAGTCGTACAAAAGGCGTGCGATTCTGTTACATTGTCAGCTATTCGCCCTCCGACAGATAGCTACATGAATCAGTTGTTATCTGGCCCGGCCGAGACCACTAGATGCACTTTCGAGATAGACCTAACAAAGTAATTACAATGTGCAAATCTTGTTTCCTTTGCCATTTTTAAACTGACTATTGCTGATATACTGTTACCTGGGAAATTGTGCAATTCGCGGTGCTTTTAAGGTTAAGTGAAACACGTCGAGGAACTTGACCGACGTCTGTGAAAGAGGTTTTTATAAATACCTACGTTGCCGAAGTTTGTTTTTATATCGACTGCTGTGTCGAATTATATCGAGTACTGTACGAAATGGCATACTCCACCTGTCGTTTTCGTACAATAATTGTAAAGAAATCCAAGTAAAACTCCAGAAATCCTCTGGATTCATGCTTTCTGAGGCACTAATAGACTGCAGAGGGACCCCATGCGCCATCTGTGATTTCCATGTCAACTAAATTTTCATTCCAAGACCCTATGTTACCATCGTTATCGCTTAGGAGTCCATAAGACACTTTTTTTGCCTTTATCCCGTTCAAATGCGAGTTTCTCGATTACCAGAGTGTTCTAAATTGTCCTGACCCTTTCATTTCTCATATCTGAGCCTTCAAATTGGGTATTACACTAAATGACATACTCTATCTGTCGTTTTCGTACAATAATTATAAAGAAATCGAAGTATATGTCCATGAATCCAGAGTATTTATGGTGTTGTGAGAGATGGGAATAAAGATTCTGGTGAAACTTAAACGGCTGCTGATTAGGTTGGCCTCGCATAGTGTTGGTCGGAAACAAAAATTGAGCACTTATAGTAAGGACCGAAATCCAAAGACGGATACAAATGGTGTTGGTGTTGTGAGAGATGGGAATAAAGATTCTGGTGAAACTTAGACGGGTCCTTGTTAAGTTGCCATCGCGTAGTGTTGGTCAGAAACAAAAATTGGGCACTTATTGTAAGGGCCGAAATCCAAAGACGGTTACAAATGGTGTTGGTGTCGTGGGAGATGGAAATAAAAATTCTGGTGAAACTTAGACGGCGGCTCGTTAGGTTGGCCTCGCGTAGTGTTGGTCGGAAACAAAAATTGGCACTTATAGTAAGGGCCGAAATCCAAAGACGGATACAAGTGGTGTTGGTGTCGTGGGAGACGGGAATAGAGATTCTGGTGAAACTTAGACAGCTGCTCGTCAGATTAGCCTCGCGTAGTGTTGGTCGGAAACAAAAATTGGGCACTTATAGTAAGGGCTGAAATCCAAAGACGGCTACAAGTGGTGTTGGTGTCGTGGGAGACGGAAATAAAAATTCTGGTGAAACTTAGACGGCTGCTCGTTAGGTTGGTCTTGCATAGTGTTGGTCGGAAACAAAAATTGGGCACTTATAGTAAGGGCCGAAATCCAAAGACGGTTACAAGTGGTGTTGATGTCGTGGGAGACGGGAATAAAGATTCTGGTGAAACTTAGACGGCTGCTCATTAGGTTGGCCTCGCATAGTATTGGTCGGAAACAAAAATTGGGCACTTATAGTAAGGGCTGAAATCCAAAGACAAATACAAATGGTGTTGGTGTTGTAGGAGACGGGAATAAAAATTCTGGCGAAACTTACAAGGGGCGGCTGGTCGTCGTGGGGCAGCTTGCCATCGAGGCAGAAGTAACACTTATCCAGCGGCTTCCAGTCCTCGGGAGGTGGACTCGATCGCCGACCTGGGTGAAGGGGCAGGGGCAGGGGCACAGACAGGGGCAGGGGCAGGGGCAGCGAGCCGACGGGGGTGGTTTCCGCCGACCTGCTGCCCTCGGGCTCCGCCGCCCCCGAGCCACCCCCTGTCACCGGCGCCTCCTGCAGTTCCTCCTCCTTCTTCACCCGAAGCAAACCTGCGGTCACCTGTATCCGCTCCAACGCGACTTCCTCGATCCGTCCCTGGAATCGCCGAAAAGCCAAGTTTTAATTTATTCAAAACGATAGGAACATGTGCTTCCATCGATCCATAAAACCATCAAATTTTTCGAGTTTTTCCTCCAAATATAGAAATTCATGGAAGCAGTTTGAAGTTTACATCCTATATTCTTACGTCCATGATTCAAAACGATTGGCACATGTATCTTCATCGCCCATTTATCTATCATAATAGCCCGTTTAACTTTTAAGAACACCGAAGATAGCGTATCAGTCACTAACGGAATGGACCCTTTTTGTAAATACCATGCACTGTGTGCCCTGTCCATATGGAGCTGTGTTCTTGGGCATAACAAATTCTATCTATCTATCTATTTATCTATCTTCCACGAAGGAGACCCGCGCGGTGGAGTGGCATAGAAAAATTGTGTCAGTTAGGAACGTCTCCACCACCTTTACGAGCTCCGTGGTTCTCCGGTACCAAAATGGCGGTCGGGGCGCCGGCAACTGACCTTGGTCCCTTCCGTGTCGGTGGCGTTGGTCGGGTCCCGGTCCCGGTTCGCCGGCTGGTCCGGTTCCCGGGCAGGACTGACCGTCCGGCTGGCGTCGACGTCCTCGGTGACCTTGAGCCTCCTCTCGACGGCGTCCTCCCCCTCCGCCGGTTCCTTGGGGTCCCCCGCGAGGGCAACGGGTCCCGCCACCGTCCTCTCGGCCCCCTCCTGGTCCTCCCCCTGGTTCTCCCCCTGGTCGCCCCCCTGGCTCTCCCCCTGGACTTGGGTCTGGGCGTCCCGGCCCCCTTCCGCAGCCTCCGAGCCGACCTCGACCTTGATCTCCTCCGGCCTCAGCCGGCGCAGCTCTTCCTCCACGTGGTTCGGCACCCGGGGAGGCTCCTGGGTCTCCTGGGTCTCCCGGGGCTCCTGGATCTCCTGGGTCTCCTGCTTGACCGGCACGGGCCCCGGGGGCCGCGGCCGGTGGCCTTGGGGACCGCCGGGACCACCGGCTCCACCGGCGGTGCCCTGGTTCGGGAGCTGGTTGCAGGCGGGCAGGCCCACCGGGTAGAGCCGGTGCTGCTGCGGTTGCGTTGCCGATTCGCTGCGAGTGCTGCTGTACAGGGTGTCCTGGTATTGCTTCCATCTCCTACGGCCCATCAACTCTTCCGCTACCCGTTCCAGACCTGCGACACCACCGCAACTACATCAAACAATGATGAGCGGCTCATCTGGGGAGCGGCGACTCGGGAGTCGCTCCACCGGGAAGGGTCCAGGGTTTGGGATTGAGAGCATTGGTGGACAAGAATGTTCTTAACCCTTTAGCTACTATAGTGGCTTTCGCGCATGCTACCCATTCGAACGGTACGCCACTATAGTGACTTTCGTGGATGTCATGACTTTTAAGGGTATGTCGCTGAAGTGGCTTAGGATTGAGCGCATTCGTGGGGATGAATGTTCTTAACCTTTCAGCCACTATAGTGACTTTAGTGAGCAAGAATGTTCTTAACCTTTTAGCTACTATAGTGGCTTTCGCGCATGCTACCCATTCGAACGGTACGCTACTATAGTGGCTTTCGAGGGTATGATGTCTTTTAAGGGTATGCCGCTGAAGTGGCTCACTCTGTCTATAGATATGTGTAGCATTCAGTTCAATTGATAAAAGAAATAGTCAAAAAACATAAGACGTTAGACAATAATTATAGCAATCGTAATAACTCTACTGCAGACCACCCATTAAGATTAAAAGAAAAGCATTTGCCGTCATTTTGTAAAACTGTAAATACCAAAAAACGTCGCATACGTTCAATAAATCTAAATGTCCTCTTCCATAACTGAGAAAAAGAAATCACACGTTCTAACCTAAAATCATCGAAATATAGTCTACGGAACCGTGTTACAATCTAGTACGAAAGATGTCAAAAAATAATATGGAAGTCATTTTAAATTAGCGAAATCGTATCAAAATTTGATCCAAAGCGTCTTTTCAAATACTAACCTAAAAACGTTGAAATGTAACACACAATAGCGATCCTATTACAATCTAGAATAAGGGGATGATGAAATCGCCGTGTAAGAATCAACGATACATTCAATAAACCTACATGTTCTCTTCCACAAATGAGAATTAGAAACAACACGTTCTAACCTAAAATCATCGAAATGCAGTCTACGGAACCGTGTTACAATCTAGTACAAAAGATGTCAAAAAGTAATATGGAAGTCATTTTAAATTAGCGAAATCGTATCAAAATTTGATCCAAAGCGTCTTTTCAAATACTAACCTAAAAACGTTGAAATGTAACACAATAGCGATCCTATTACAATCTAGAATAAGGGGATGATGCAATCGCCGTGTAAGAGTCAACGATACGTTCAATAAACCTAAATGGCGTTTTCCACAAGAGGGAAGTGACGGATCCGGCAAGCGAGGACAACGTAACTGCGAGAGGAAAGAATCGAGGAAGACGAAAGATCGGAATGGACTTTATCGCTGCCCCGGAGAGGTTAGGATCCGGTTGAAGAGGTTACGTCACCTATCGCTGAGAGGATCGACAGATGTAACGCCTAACTGGACTTTATATCGCGCGATATTGGACTCTAAGGACCTTATTAAGGTCCCCGAGGTTGCAATGGGTGCTCATAAACATTTAATTCCGACTATAAAATCGATTTTGAGCCGGGATCGAGTCTTTCCTGCCGTTGTGCCAATCGGCGACATCGATGAAAAATATAAACGTCGGGAATTTGGCGCTTCAGATGACATATCAGTTAGAAGAATTTGTTTTTATCGATCTGAATTAAGTTTTTTGATTCTCCTTTCTTGTTACTTCAAAATGTCAAACTCTTTAAGGCCGTCTCTATGACGAAAGAATTGGAAATAGCGAATAGTTTAACTCGTTGAACCCGGAGCCATTTCAACATATGGGCGAAATTCGTCTGACCGTGCAGGCGAGATCGGACCAAACGTCGGGCGCCTTTAGAGCGCTCTTAGTAGCCAAAGGGTTAAATAATATATTTTTTCGGTTAAATGAATGTTTATTTTCGCAGTGTAGAGGAAAACCTCCGTTGAATCTCGATTACGAGGTGTTTCTTTTTTTCTATCGCATAGAAGTCGCCGTTAACCCGTTGAACACGGAGCCATTTCGACATATGGGCGAAATTCGCTTGACCGTGCAGGCAATATTGAACCAAACGTCGGGCGTCTTTAGGCGCTCTTAGTAGCCAAAGGGTTAAATAATATAATTCTTCGGTTAAATGAATGTTTATTTTCGCACTGTAGAGGAAAACCTCCGTTAAATCTCGATTACGAGGAGTTTCTTTTTTTGTATCGCATAGAAGTCGCCGTTAACCCGTTGAATACGGAGCCATTGCGACATATGGGCGAAATTCGTCTGACCGTGCAGGCAATATTGGACCAAACGTCGGGCGTCTTTAGGCGCTCTTAGTAGCCAAAGGGTTAAATAATATATTTCTTCGGTTGAGTGAATGTTTATTTTCGCAGTGTAGAGGAAAACCTCCGTTAAATCTTGATTACGAGGTGTTTCTTTTTTTTGTATCGCATAGAAGTCGTCGTTAACCCATTGAACACGGAGCCATTTCGACATATGGGCGAAATTCGCCTGACCGTGCAGGCAATATTGAACCAAACGTCGGGCGCCTTTAGACGCTCTTAGTAGCCAAAGGGTTAATGCATAGACCTGCATGACACAATTGCGATTGACGTTAATTTTTCCTGCCATCTAGTGGCCATGACAAGGAAACGAACCTGAAGGACAAATATGTCTTTTTTATTAATAATAAAATTTCTAGGAGTTTATGATTTCATTTCTTGCCGATGTGTCGGGGCTGATTATACGTCGTGCGTTGACACTTAAATGCCGTCATCATTCACAGTTAAATAAGGTTTACTTAGGCGGAGATGCACCGTTGCACTTAGAGGAGCATTAAGTAAACACCCAAGGTCTTGTTTGCGCGAAAGCAGTTTAATGTATTTCTTTTTAAAGACACGGCCGTAAAAGACAATCAACGCGTTGCCGTTTTATACAGCTAGTAGACAGCTCGTGAGAATTTCAAGTACAGAGATGATATAAGTTGCCAGAAGCAGTTCCTATATCTCCTTTTTGTCTCAGAAAATTATCCTCCTTAGCCTTGGTGGCGATAAAAAAAAACACCTTGTGCAATTTATCGACACGAAATTCCAGGTGTAAAGCTCCGCTTCGAAATTAACGACGCGGAGTAATTATTCAAACAATTTCGGAATATCGCATTCGAAATCCATTCCTCTGTAAATCTCGTAAATAATTGTTTCAGGCACGAAACAAAGTTTGAAAATTTCTGAATATTGTTTTTATAGAAATATCCATATTATTCATGCACTTTTAGTACATAAGGTTATAGTGAAATTATAAATTTTATGTCATAAAAGTGAATTAGTACACATTTATTACANATCGCCTTAAGACTACAAAGGCGTACTCGGACATACCCAGGACATTTGTCAAATTTGTTTGTCTGCTGACAGAGAAAACGTTTGTAATCAAATATCGTTAAACACAAATTTATAACATATTTTATACATTTATTGTATCCGCTTCGAAATTAACGACGCAGAGTAATTATTCAAACAATTTCGGAATAACCGTATTCGTAATCCATTCCTCTGTAAATTTCGTAAATAATTGTTTCAGGCACGGAACAGAGTTTTAAAATTTCTGAATATTACTTTTATAGAAATATCCATATTATTCATGCACTTTTAGTACATAAGGTTATAGTGGAATTATAAATTTTATATCATATGTTATATTATATCATTGTGCTACTAAGGGGCGTTTAATTTTTGTACTCTGGATAGATCACATTACGTTATAGTGGTAATCACAGGGCTATAGATGGCTTTTAAAAATTGTTGCGAAAATCATGTTATTTCGTCGCAGTAACTAATTTCGCGATACTTTTTTTTTCGCGATGCCGGGAACCTCATTAAAAAAAGCTCAAAGCTTATACTTACCGAATAGCTCAAAGGATTCATCTTCAAATTCTATATTTGGCTCAAAGACCTTAAATTTTGAAAACATGAAATAAAGAGCCGAAAAGATATTTTTTTTTTATTCTCAAAGATGCGGCTCCCAAATCAGGAATCAGGAGAGATTCAGTCCACGAGAGGGAAACCTTTTACTCATTATTTGTTAATTATTTTTCAAACGATAAAATAAAACTATCGAGTCACTGACATCGAAGTAAATAATTCGACACGGGAAAAGGTTCTCTAAAATAATAATCGATTGATTAGAAATTAGATTTAACCTCAAATTGAAACTAATCTCGCAGCAGTAAATTTAATAATTGGAAACAATAAAATCACTATTACATTTATTTATAGAAAGAGGCTCAGAGTTACTTTTTGTATGACTGTGACAAGTTTTTGAATATTATTGTTTAGAATGTTTAGAATTATTTGATAACTTTTACAATTAATATGATTAAATGTGATTTAATTTTGTATAATAATTCATTCATTTCAACAAAACCTTTCATAACTTCATTTAATTGTTTCATGGTCATTTTGTAATGTTTTTGATGCCACAACAATGCATAGCCGGTTTTTGCACATTAAAAGTTGTTTCAAGATATACCTTGTATGTTTTCGCGCAATTGTTTCTAAACTTACATCCGTAAAATCCTGGTTAAATTTTACCAATTTTAACAACTTTACCAATTTTTGCGTAATACGATTAAATATAATTTAATTTTGTATAATAATTCATTAATTGCAACAAAACCTTTCATAACTTCATTTTATTGTTTCACGGTCATTTTGCATTGTTTCTGACACCATAACAATGCAAAGCCGGTTCTTGCACATTAAAAGTTGCTTCAAGATACACCTTGTATGTTTCCGCGCAATTGTTTCTAAACTCACATCCGTAAAATCCTGGTTAAATCAACTTTGTCAATTTTTGCGTAAACCACTGAAGAACTACATCGCGGTGCGATTTAATTCTAATTAACCACGTTTCTCACTGAAATATAATTAAATTGATCCCTTTTTTTCTCAGGCGAGAGCTTTAAGCTCGAACCCGCAAGAGGGACGAGAGACGTACCTACTTATTACCGTCGGTTGTAATTGTAAATTAGCAATTAGTAAGAAAAAGTACAGTTTCCGTAGTTTACATTCCGAGTC